GTGCCCAGGCTGCTCCCTGAGGAGAGGAGCCGTGTGAAGCAGGAGTTTGAGTTCAGCATGGCCATGGCAAACCTCATCTCGGAGCTGGTGCACGTGATGGGCTGGAACCACAACCACAAGCCAGAGCTGCCGCCCCGAAAGGAGCTCCGGCCTCGCGCCACCCGCTCCATCTTCCAGCACAAAACCCCAACCAGATCTGCTGTCCAAATGCCTGTGCTCAGTTCAAACCATGGTGCTTACAAAAAGCAGAACCGTGCCTTCCTGACCCCATCAGACTTCGCAGAGAGCAATGACTATGTGGAGTACTTACAGGCAAACCTGGTGCCTGGCATGAGGGTGCGCTTGCTGGAGGACTGTGGTGACATTAGAGCTGGGGAGGAAGGCGAGTGTCTTCAGAGCACCAACAGCATGCACACAGTACAGGTATGTCATGGGTGGACGTATTCCGGCTGGAGTGACCAGAGTGACTGATGATTTCTAATGTTGTCTTTATGTGCAGAAAGTTGAACAATAGGTGTATCATAATACATATCACTGTCTACATCTGTCCTAGCAAAAAACTCACCTTTCAGAGGTGGTGGTGTGGGTTGTAAGGAAAGCTAGTCTGGTTTAGTATAGGTTGTGCTGCTAAGATTTCTTGGTCTCTGAAATAGTAGCTATATCCTGCATCCTGGGAGCAGTCCCTAGCCCTGGTTTGATCTTGAGAGTGGTTTAGGCATAGGCTAGCTGACAGAAATGAGTAGCACAGCGAAAGGTACTTGAAGAATTTAATCCTTAGTATGTGAGAGACTGTTTATGGCACATTGTTGTTCTCAGTGGGTTGATCGCAGCCTACATAGTTGTTGCTTTTGATCTGCGAGTATGTGTTGGAATCTGTTTCCCTTTAAAAATGCCCTTTAGGTGAGTAGACCTCAACTGAGAGTTTACGTTGAAAAGAGCTGCGTATTTGCTAAGTTTGTGCCAGAAATCAGGAAAAGGGTTCAATATTTTAAGGGGGGAGGAATCTTAGAGCAGGTTGGGTTGAAAGGAACTTTTTAAGGCCATCTAGTCCAGCCCCCTGCAATAAGCAGGGACATCTTCATCTAGACCAGATTGCTGAGAGCCCCATCCAACTTGACCTCGAATGTTTCCATGGATGGGGCATCTACAACTTTTCTGTTCTGGTGTTTCATGACCCTCATTGTAAAGAACTTCTTTAGGTCCAATCTAAATCTCCCCTCTTTCAGTTTAAAACTGTTATGTCTTGTCCTATTGCAACAGGCATTACTAAAGAGTCTCTCCTCAACTTTCTTACAAGCCCCCTTTAAGTACTGAAAGGCCACTAAAAGGTTTCCCTGGAGCCTTCTCTTCTCCAGGTTGAACAACCCCAGCTCTTTCAGTGTTTCCTCATAGGAGAGGTGTTCCATCCCTCTTATCATTTTCATGGCCCTCCTCTGGACCTGCTCCCACAGATCCATGCCTTGTACTGAGGCCTCCAGACCTGGATGCAGTGCTCTGGGTGGGGTCTCATCAGAGGAGAGTAGAGAGGCAGAGTCGCCTCCTTCGGTCTGCTGGACATGCTGCTTTTGATGCAGCCCGGGGTGTCATTGGATTTCTGGGCTGTGAGTGCACATTTCTGGGTCATGTCCAGCTTTTCATCCAACAGTTCTGCTAAGTCCTTTATAGGGCTACTTTTAATCCCTTCATCCTCCAGCCTTGATGGTACCAGGATTTGTCCCAACCCAGGTGCAGGCCCTTGCCCTTGGCCCTGTTGACCCTCATGAAGTTCCTCTGGGCTGACTTCTCCAGTTCATCCAGGTCCCTCTGGATGCCATTCCTTCCCTCAGGCCTGTCAACTGCACCACTCAGCTTGGTGTTGTCAGCAAACTTTCTGAAAGTGCACTTGAAGATCTTCATCTGGACATTGAGCTGTTGACCTGTGGATATGACCATTCAACGAATTCCTCATCTATTGAATCCATATCTCTCCAGTTTAAAGCAAAGGATGTTGTGGGATCCATGTCAAAGGCCTTACACAAGTCCAGAGAGGTGACAGTGGTGGCTCTTCCCTTGTCTACTTATATAGTCACTCCCTCATAGAGAACCACTAGGTTGGCCAGGCTAGAACTGCCCTTGGTAAAGTATTGCTGGTTGTCTTGAATTACCTCCCAGTGTTCCATGTGCCTCAGTGAAAGACTTTTCTGGTTTTGGACCATGCATAGGTGATGTTTCATTTTGGGTTCCCTCAACTGAATAACTGCTTTGCACCACTTTTCTGTTATAATCCAGTCCATAAAGATAAATTGCAAAGGTAATGTATTTCCTACTGATTCTCTCTTTGTCCTTATGCTTCTTGATTTGTGTGTTTTCCTAAAATTGTGGTTTCTATTTCTTGTAAACATTTACTTTGTTTTAGTGTAACTGGGCACATGGAAAGAGCACCAAGCTCCTTTCACATTTTTATCTGTTGCCTGTGACATAAATTTCAAAGGGCTTTTAATTCAGTGTTCAGCTGAAGTGGACTGTTAACTTCAATTCCCTTTGTTGTGTTGGTCCCTTGGGTTCCCTCTCCTGTCTAATTTTCTATTTAGTTAGGTTGAATGAATTTGCAGTTGCTCCATCCAGACTTATTTTCAGTATGTTATCTGTAAGGCTCACACTATTGACAAAACCAGATCTGAATGGCAATTGGGGCCAGTCCATCATGATACCTCTTACCTCCTCCCGTCTTTCCTTTATTTCTCTGTTTTCTGTTGCTTTCTTTGCCTTCCAAAGAAAGAGTTTCATTGCTGTGTTTGGTCCTGCAACCATATCTTTGGTACATAACAAGTTTAGGTTAGGGATTCATTAAAGACTATTTGGTGTTGTGTGTAGTTTAACTCAACTTCCTTCTGTATAGTACTTTCCTAAAGTCTTTCACCATCTTATCTCTTTAGCTTTCCAGCACAATGGGTTTGTAGTAGCATTGGTGTAACTCCAGAAGAGCTCAGTGGAACAGGCAAACCATATGTTTTTCTGCTGGTTTTTAAAGCTACTCACATGTTACACTTGCTGTTGCTGAGTTCTCCTTCTGCTCAGAAGAGTAAATGTAAAACTATAGTGTGGGAAGCCATTAAAAAATCCTTCTGATTTTTGAAGGTCAACTTGAACAAAGCAGAGGAAACAAGTTCTGTATTTCAGACATGCTTGTCTTGAGCCCAAAACCTGTTTGAGAGGGTTGGTGAATGACCAAGGTATAAAAGTGCCTTGAGACACTTTATATACAGCTCATCTGCATCAAGGTGATGTTGGTTACATTCTTCCTTCTTCCTTTGTATGCTTTTCCCAAGGAACCTGCTGCTTGGCACTTCTGGACCAGGCATGATTAACTGGATGCACTCATGTCACTGCTACTGTGCTAAATGAGATCTGTAGTGTGTAGGTTGCAGGCAAAATTGGTGTTTTTTTTAAAATAAAGATCTGGGTGTAACCAAGGCAACAAGTTAGCAAAGATGGTATGCCTCAAAATTAGACAAAGTGTGTGCTGAAATCTGTATGTGAATTGTGTGGTCTTCTACTTGAACAGTGCTTGCTGTCTCCATGCACTGGGGAAACGGGAGGACAAATGTAGCACGAGGATTGAATGAGTGAAGAGATCTGATAATTTAGATCTGTTTCACCCACAGGTTTTATGGCAGTCAACAGGTCGGACCTACTGGATGCGTTGGCACACATTGGAGATTATTGGCTTTGGAGACCAGTGGGAAGATCCTGCTGCTCAGGAAAAGGAATATAGTCCAATAAAGAGCTTTAATCTAGACACAGGTGAGATTATGTGCTGGGTGTGTCTATCATCTCTGCTGTGGGATGTTTTTGGGTGGTGGTCTTTATATGGTCAAGCACATGGCAAGTAGCAGGTTGGGTTTAGAAAGCACTATTAGTTTTTATGACCATGTAGAGCTAGTTAAGTAATTACATGGCTTGTGGTTGCATGGAGTATTTTTGAACCCTAGACTTCTGTCAAGATATAATAAAAGTAATGGTATAAAAAGCATAAAATTTAATT